TGTTAGGCCGCTTTCAATGATGCAGGAGCCAGGTTAGAACAAGGGTGGTAAGCACACAGAACAACAGCTACATGCATGCTGGTCACTGCAGCTGTGGGTTAGCCTTGCACTGTGAATCCCTTCCATTCTGGTCTTTGCCCCTCTTGGAAGGCTGCCTGCAAACAGCTGAAAGAAACACCACAATGCCCCATAGTAACAACCAGCAGCAAGTGGGATCAAGCACTCTGCACATGAAATGAGCTACACATTTGACAGAGGAGTACCACCTAGGTTTTCTGAGTTCCTGTAACCCCACACATACTTGGGGGTATCCTGCAATTTTACCTGTTGGGGAACATAACATAGTTATCTAACCAATTATTGTCTATCATCATATATGGAGTTGTATTAGAACCATCTGCCCTTTCTGTTTGGGCTGCTTCAAGGGGTTCTGATCCTGCAAAGCAAGGCAAAAGGCATCATGAATGTTTGACTCATAGCAGTTGTAGGAATGGCCAAGTATTGTGTCTGTGTTCCATGTTTTTTCCACATGTGGGGTTAGACCACCATGACATCATGCCAATGTTATGGTAATATACATGCACATACAAAGTTTCCTTATACTTAATTAGACCTTTTGCCCTGTTTGGGCCCCTGCCACACGACAGAAAAAAACACGGCCAAAGTGCGGCTTTTTAGAGCCGCGCCAAAAGAGAGACGTGGTGGGATCAAACAGATCCCCTGAGCTGCTGCGCAGCTGCTCCCCAGCACGATCAGATGCTGGGGAGGAAGCCACCGATGGGAGACCGAGGCAGCCGGCTGCACATGCGCAGTTCGGCCAGGAGCCTCGAATGCTCCCGACGATGGATACGCCGGCGATCCCACAGCCGCGCTTGCTGCAGCGTTTCAGGTAAGTCGTTCTCTTTACTTGGGGGTTTTTTGCTCCGCAGCACTGGGCTGTAGGGATGGATCGGGGACGGGTGCGCGCTGATTCCCAGATGTTGTGGTGAGATCGCACTCGTTTGCTTTGCCCCCGATCCATCCCTCTTCCGGCCCAAAACCTCCCGTGTGACCGGGGCCGAAGGTCACTATTGTCTCCTCTGACTGGCAATGGCTCTCCAGGGTTTCAGATGGAGGCCTTTCATATCACCTAATTCCTGATCCTTTTAACTGGAGATGTTAGTGATTGAATCTAGTACCTTCTGCAAGCAAAGCAGTTGCTGTACCACTGAAACCCAGTTCCTAATTAAAAATAACAACAATAGCTTATCTAGACGAGCAAGCCATTTATATCCAAAAAGGAAAACCTTCCAAGTACTGCCTGCATATGTCCAAAGCACACCCAGCCATTTCTGCTCTATGCATACTTAGCCTGTGGTTCATGTGTGAAAAACGCTGACAGAACTGTTGAGTAAGAGAGGGTTGTTAAGCAAGTACACAACAGGCACATTTTGCAAAGGCGGAGCTGTCTGCAATAGTCAAAGCCTGAGGCGGGGAATCTCCCTTCCTTGGTCACCTGTCTGGTGTATATTGTCTTGCATCTAATTTGGAGGGGTGGAGGATCCAGATCAGTGTTCCCTCTAAGCTGAGTTAGTGTGAGCTAGCTCACAGTTTTTTAGCCTCGGGCTCACACATTTTTGTCTTGGCTCAGGAAGGATGGCTCCAGATCAAGCTAATTTATGCAGTAGCCAAATCACCTGCTCACAACTTTAATGCCAGTAGCTCACAAAGTAGAATTTTTGCTCACAGGGCTCCACAGCTTAGAGGGAACATTGACCCAGATTGGTGTCTGGAGATGGACAACCTTTTATGGTTCTGAACAGAGCACTGTTAGCAATATTTTATTTATTAACAGAATTGATACCCCACCTTTGTGCTTTGATTTGGGCTATAACAGTGTTGATTCTCATTCTTGATTATCTCTGTAGTATGTTCTTTCTCTGCAGTTCCCATCACCAAAGCGCTCCTGTGCGAGCTCGAAGTGTGCATGCCATGAAATATGGGTTTCTTGGCTGAAGTTCACATAGAATGTGTGCAAGAGCGGTGATGGGCTACCATCTTCGACAGTATTGTAAGCTCCACTGTGCCTGTGCAGGCATAGTGGAAGGGGTGGGGGTGGCTTTAGGATTATGCTTCAAATATTTTATATTTTTAGATAACTTAATAATGCTTGTGACCCCAATCTCTTTTGACCTGTAGCCATGGCATATTTTTGTAGCTGGGTGCTGGATGGCATCACCACTAGTTGAGGTTTCTTGCCAGTGTGTCTTTCTACTTTAATCTGCCCCTTTACATATGACCAAATGCCCTGCTCCACCCACTAAAATAAATAAACTGAACCAGAAGGGCAGATCAGTGTTCTCCATGAGCTGGGAAGTAAATATCCATGATCTGATATTTAGAATTAGAGTACTAAACCAACTTCAGAGACTAGGTAGTACCTAGGTAAAAAAAAAAGGAGTAAAAAGTCATACAGATGGATCCATAGACAGCACCCCTGGCGCCTTGACAGTCCTTGGCCCTCAGTATCAAGTCATAATTTTATTTTTTTTCTTCATTTATACTCTGCCTCTCTCTCCAATGGGGATACAAAGCAGGTTAAATTGTTCTCTTGTCCATTTTATCCTCACATTAGCTCTGTAAAGTAGGCTAGGCTGAGGCTGAGTGACTGGCCCAAGGTCCCCTAACAAACTTCCAGGGCAGGGGGAATTCAAACCTGAGTCTCCCAGATCCTAGCCCAGCACTCTCAGCATTACACCACACTAGACATAAACACACGAGCTATTGCAATACCAGTTATCACCCCCCCGTTTACAAAGAAAAGTAGACTTTCATAAATTCAGTTTTAAGCTGTATGTTTGCATTACATTCAGATTTCATTTCTAAGCAGTCTTTTTTAAGAGACCCTTCTCATACCTAAAAAATTAAAATCTGGTTGAAATATTTGAAATTAGTTGTTTAGTTTTAAAAAGCCCTGATTCTTGTACATTAATTGTGTGTCGGTTTACCTGGAACTAAGTATCTGTGTTTTAACAGGACTTAATTCTAAATATGCATGTCTTTTTCTTTGACACATTGTTTTCTCTCTCTCAATGTGCTAGAGTGCTCTCCTTAAAAATCTCAGTTTACAAATTCAACAGTTGTGTACATTCAGATCTGCACATTATTTTAACTATAGCTGGAGAATAAGAATATTTTAAATTATTCCTTTTGGTCAAACACTGTTACTGAGATGAAAAGCAGCTGCTGTGTAGGGTATAGTGGGAACAATAGCTGGGTAAAGGATGGGGGGAAGCTGGTAACTGAGGCCTGCAGTGACAGGCGATGATCTGAGTGGAGAAACCAAGCAGCTACCCCACCCGCTGCTTTCCTTCTCTTCCTCTGATTAGGCCACTTGGATGAAATGCAGCTCGGCTTCCCCCCTCCCTTTCCATCCTTTTATCCCTCGGCTCTCAGGGGAGCTCCGAGTCCGACCTACTGTCGGCAGCGATGCCATCTGCTGGTTCTGCTGCATTATAACATTATTTTCTTTTTCCACAACAAAGAATCCGTGAGTTTTATAAGCCACCTGTCTGCACAGCCCGCTGCTGCTTTCACCGTTCGTGGTGGTGGTGGCGGTGGAGGAGGAAAGTGCTGACCAGTTGCAGTTGCTTTATGGCGTTTCAGAGGTGGTTTGCCATTGGCTGCCTCCGCATTACGACCCTGGTGTTCCTTGGTGTGGTCTACCCAAATACTCACCAGAGCTGACTCTGCTCAGCTTCCGAGATCTGACAAGGTCGGGCTAGCCTGTGTCCTCCAGGCAATGTTCCCTCTAAGCTGTGGAGTCTTGTGAGCAAAAATTGTACTTTGTGAGCTACTGGCATTAAAGTTGTGAGAGAGCAATTTGACTACTGCATAAATTAGTTTGCTCTGGAGCCCTCCTTCCTGAGCTACGACAAAAATGTGTGAGCCGGAGGCTAAAAAACTGTGTGCTAGCTCACACTAACTCAGCTTAGAGGGAACACTGCCTCCAGGTCAGAGCTGCACTGTGTTTACAGTTGTACCATTAAAACAGGAGGGAGGGAGCTTTGCCGTAACCACGAAAGGGTTCTAAACCATGAAGGCTTACAAAGGCCTTACAGGGTTCACTTAAAACGTCTATCGAGTCCAGCACCTTACTTCCAAGAGAGACTAGTGAAATGTTTCTGGGACGACAGGCCGGTTACATAGGCAGTATTGCCCTACGCGGCGGCTTGTCTCCGGCAACTGTTAAACTGCCTCTAGCTATGGAAGTTCCATCTCCCCATAGCATCATGTGTCCGTAATGTTCTCCCAGTCGTCTTTCTCCTCCAGGCTCCAAAAGAGACCTCTCTATATAGCTACCTTACCCTACCTGCCAAGCATTCGCGTCAGCCCTTCATTCTCCGCCCCGTTAATGCCCATTTCCTAGTCACTGAGACAGTACAGTCGCCCAAGCAAAGCTGCCTTTTACAGGTCCGGTGTAATCTGCAATGACCGGCAGCAGCATCCCGAGCCCTCTCTCCTGACCTAGCTAACCTGAGCTTTCGTAACGGAAGCCTCTCCCCCCCCCCCCCTCTCCCCCGACCCTCCCCCCGGTCAGCCCCAGCGCCCTCACAGAGTTAGCGCCCCCCTCTCCACTCCGTTTTACGACCTGTCGTAAACCTGTGTCTGCCCAGCCACCCGCTTCCATATCACGCCTAGACTTCATCGCAGAGAGCAAGCGAGACCGAGGGAGCCGTAAAGTGGGGAAAGAGGTGCCGCCCGCTCCCGACAATTAGCGGCGCGAGAAGCTCCGCCAGAGACAGAGCGAGAAGGCGGGGTCACGGTTGCAGTCCCGCCCCTTTGTGGTGAGGGGGGAATTGAATGGGTGGCGGTGGAATTGGTTCCTTATTCCCCCGTGGTTCTGTCTTACAGGCTTTTCCTTTCTGCCCTACTGGGGGTAGCTTTTCTTTTCTGGGGTGGGGGCACATGGGGTGGCTGTGCCTTTACTTCCCTCCTCTTTCTTGTCCTCTTCAGCGCTAACCTTCCTGACAACGGGGAGTCCACGTCGGTGCGGGGTAGCATCGCACAGGTGGGAGCACTAAGGCGACTGATCTGTGAGAGGAGGGGCGCGAATGGAGGAGGGTCGCTGCATGCTGTCAGCAATCCTTTCACTCCTTTCTGACACTTGTGGGTGGGTGTACAGAGGAAAGGGTTGTTCCAGGGCAGACCCGTAATTCTCCCCCCCCCCCCCCAATATATGCATATCTCTTTGGTCTTCTTTCCAGGCTGGCACCGGGGGTCATGGCACAAGTGGGGCACAGGGTGGATTACCTGGCAGGATTCTGCTGCCCGGTGGGGGGGCTGGCAGCTGGGAAGCCCAGAGTGCTGTGCCACGACAACCAGATCTACCTCTCCAATGGCACTGAGTATGTCTATGTCTACGATCAAGAAGGGCGGCTGATGAAGGTAAGTGGTATATGGCTGCCCCAGCCAAATCTAGGTTGGTCCATCCTATGTCGTTGGCACTGGGGAGATGTGGAGGCCCTGGAAAGTAGGTCAGGTACTGCAAGTCATTTCTGGGATCTTCACGTTGGCATCCCAGAAGGAAGGCTAGGCAGATGATCAAAGACCCTTACTAGTCTGATTTAAACTCTTCAGCACATATATAGGAACTCACATTTGTAGGCTGTGCCAGTTAACTTGTGTTTTCATGCTTTTAATCGCTAAACCTGGTTTCCAAGCACCTGTCGTTATGAAGAAGAATCCACCTTACAAGCATCCCAATTGTGAGTACAATATGATGCATCTAGAGTGCTCAGGGGATAACTGAGCCTCAGCATGTGCTTCTCCTCTCCTAGTAACTCAGATTCCCAGCTGTCGCTATGGCAGGTTTTTATAGCTGTTTCCTACCAATGTGAGGATTGTTACAGCTTCTAGATGCTTTTGCATATGTGCAGGAGACCAAGTTGTGTGTGTTGTATATCTGTACTTTTGTGTCTAGCAGCAATCCTAAACACTTTGTTTTCAGTACAGAATTGTAAAACTGAGAAATTTGCATGCATGTGTGAAGTGTCATATTCACAATGGAACTCGAAACCCCCCCCCCCACACACACACAGTGCTCTAAGGAGAAAGGCAGGATGCATGTTTTGTGGAGAAGCATTAGACATTTAGGATAATTAATACAAATAAGGGCGATGCTCTTGCACTTGCAGACACTTACATTGCAGGGGAAGGGAGCTTGCATACAGAGCATTCCAAAATAGGAATGGGAGTATCTCTGAGTGCAGTGCACAGGATTGTGGAGCAGCTCATTTGTTCTGTGATAAGTGGGTTTGGAGGGTAGATTACAAGCCTTCAAGTAGCAAAGAGCTTCTGCATCAGGGCTTGCATAAGTGGTCAAAGCAGAGAAATGGGCTCTGTATGATTTGTGTTGCCTTGCCATCTTCCTTCCCATAAGCCCAGTAGTATGTACCATGGCTGTAGCATCAGACTATCACAGGTGGTCCCCCCTCCCTCTGTTTTCTGTGATGATAATACAGGAGAAATTTGAGCTCAGTTCTGCAGGAATGCTTGTGTGTTGCATGTTGGCAGCTCAGCCCAGCATAAAGCCTGTGATTTTTGGATATATTTTCTCCTGAAAAGTCAGCAGGGAATACTAATTAACGTGTGAGACCTGACATTAGCCATCTAACTGTGCAATGGAGAATTACTCTAGTCTAATCCTATTGACCTTATTGGGTTTAGATTGGAGTAAGTCTGCATGCAATTGTATTGTAAATCTTTAAGGAGATGTGCTAGTGACTTTTCAATGCACTCTTCCACTGTTGCACCCTTTTTAGAGCAGAGTAGTTATCTGTGCTTTGTAATCCACTTACTTGTGGCATCCAATGTTTAACGTTTTATTTGTGGGGGGTTTTGACATCTCACTTCTGACACTTTCGACAAATCTTTTAAACTGTGTTCTTTCTGTTCTCTTGATGAAGAATTGGAATTCTTTTTCCTGGTTGAAGCTAAATGTTGGTGGCTTTTATATGAATGCCATTTTTCCTGTATTGTTTGCTAGACTCATGACAAACCTTAGCACTGCTTGGTATCTCTAATTTATTCCCTTGATTGTTTCCAAGGAACCCATTATGGTAATATCTGGCTTAGCCTCCTACACTTTTCCCTCATGCAGAGAAGTAGGTCACAAATGGGTTAACATTTTTTTTAAATTTGTCTGGTTCTCCAGATCACATGTAATGCTAAAAATCTCAGGTTTGCAGGCTTTCTTGTGCTTGGTGCTCAGTTTTCAAACCTTTGAATTGCTGTTTGCTGCAGACATCCATGTGGGCTATTGCTTGTTCCCACACTGATAAAATGAAGCCCCATCTTGGGTAAAATATGTCACTTGTTCATTAGCACAGTATGATAGCAGAGGCAGTGGTTGAGAGCTTTTAAAATGAACTCACTTATCACTAACAATCTTCATTTATTTTGAGGTATGCTTTCCTGACAGAACTTTACTGAAAGGTTCCTATAACAGAAGTTATACATCCTCAGCTAGTAGAGAGAAAAAACCTAGATCTGTAGGTTTTATGACTGTGGCAGTCATTTAAATCGAGTATGTACAGGCAGTGTGGATTTGACTGCACGCCGTTCGGTATAGTAGCTGTCTGAAGGATGCTTTGTCTGGCCAGACCTAATGTGGGCAGGAGAGAAGGCAGGGAGGTAACAGATGCTCATTTGGAACTCATTTCTTTCTACTCCATGTGGCTGTTGCTTGCAGGGGGAGATATTCCCAGGATATTGTATCCTTTATTTTAATGTTAAAGCAAACTGCATTATCATCTCTGTAAACAGGATTGCCGACTTTTTCCTGGCCCTGCTCTTGTGCCTTTTAACAATAGCCTGACCTATAGAAATAGAGCAAGTGAAGCTTTATCCTGTCACACTGTCCATAGAGCAGGTAAAGCCTCATCTGTCCCAATTGTACATGTCACGCTACTGTTAAAGGCACAGGAGCAGAGGTGTCTTATGGATGATCTTATGCATACAGATCTGGTGCTGATCATTCTGGTGCGGAGGTAGACAGGATCTGTTGTATTGGCTTCTTTCCCAATGTGGCCAGTTTAAGAAGATCATCACGTGGCCTGTTCACTCCAGACTGTTGATAACTGGCCCTGGGTGCAGGTTCATAAACTTGGCCTTCCTGAAATGGGGTTGTGTAGATGAGGGGATGGTGGCTCAGAGGCAATTCTCAGTGCCTTTCTTTCTATTTAATTCTGCCCCTTCGGAGCAACTGAAGAGGGTCTTCTCTCCTTTCTCAGCCCTCTTCACTGTGCCTGTTTCCTTCCTAGGCTGTCTACAGGTTTCCAGATCAAGTCTGGCACGTGGAGCTCCTGCCCTTCCACCAGCAGCTTTATATCCTGTGTGCCGGAGTGGGCATTTATTGTGTGTCCTTGGACTACCAAAGCAGGTGAGAGCTGGCTGGGGCGTTGTCTAGCTGAACCGAAGGTTTTGACAAGACGGTGTGCCAGCTGAGAACCTGCCATGAGGTTCAGTTACTAGTTTGGACTGGAAAGCTCCTGATTGGGGGACAACTCTCCACTACCACCCTTTGCCATCGCTGCCACCCCCTCCTGAGATCTTAAATTATTTATGCCATCATTGTCAGTGATTACGCTCTTTCCTGCTAGCCAGCAAGCTTTCTCAGGGGTGGCTCCAGTTCTTTGGAATGCCATCCTTGAGGAGATCTGGCAGGCCACCCTCAGTAGTTCCTTTTAAACAGCAATCGGAAACTTTTCGGGGCAGGGCTGTGGCTTATTGCATGCAGAAGGCAGCAGGTGCTAGGAAAGACCTTTTTTCTGGCAGTGGCTTTCCAAGCTGTCAGAGTGGACAGCGGTGAGCTTCACGTACCAGTGTCTGGCTCTGTATAAAGCAGTTTCCGATGAGAATAGAATTACATGGGGGGTGAGGGGTGGAATTGCATAGTAGTGGAGCAGATGATCCCCAATCCTGGCACCTCCAGGCAGAAAAGATCTGAAGTGGGCAAATGCTAGCAAACATCTTTGCCAAAGGCCTCAAAAGAGCTGCTGCCAACCAGAGTAAACAATAGTCAGCAAGATGGACCTGCAACCTCACATAGTAGGCCCCTTCATACACTTCTGCCAAACCAGTGACAACTGTGGAATTGACTGGTTTTAGGTACACTGCTTTTAATTCCACGGGAAGTATAATGTTATTTGATAAAGATTTTCATATGTTCTTGCTGGTTGATATTTTGATTCTGTGTTTTGATGTTCTAGCGAAGGCAACAGTTTTCAGCCCAAGTACTGAAACAGTGCAACGTCCATCTGTGACGGTTGTAGTTAGCCAGACACATTAGGAACAAGCCAAGACCCAAGCAGCACTGCCAGCATCTCAGGGATTTGCCTTGGACTCAGCTGGGAAGACCGTGATGGGCTTTCGGCCACACTTGTCAACTTCTCCTGCACCGCTGGCCTCAGCCGTGCTGCCAGTGCCTCAGATGCTTAGGTGGAGATGGGATCCTGGCTGCCAAGCAGAATGGTCTGATGTGCAGCTGTTGGCACACGTGTGCGCCAGGGGTTTCCTACCCTTGTTCTACTTTAAACTGCTTTGAGAACCAAAACCTAAATTTGGAAAAACATCTCAATTACACAGTGCTGAATTATCGATTTCATTACTGTAAATTTGGTATACAGCCACTTTCTGTAGTGTAGTTATCTGATAGCTCCTCAACATGGAGGGATGGGATTGGTTTCCCTGTGAGAACCAGCATGCTTTGGTGTTTCAGAAGCCCTTCTGCCCATGATTCACTGAGTTTGCCTTTTATGCCTGTGTATTGCGAAGGCTCAAGTGGTTAAGACGCTGAACTGCAGGCTGTGGAAGCTCTGTAGTTCAGCCCGGGTGCCGCATGATGGAGTGAGCTCCCGTCTCTAGTTCCAGCTCCTGCCAACCTAGCAGTTCGAAAGCAAGAAATTGCAAGTAGATAAGTAGGTACCACTTCAGTGGGAAGGTAACAGCGTTCCGTGCGCCTTGTTGTTTAGTCATGCCGGCCACATGACCATGGAAACATCTTCGGACAGCGCTGACTCTTCGGCTTTGAAACGGAGATGAGCACCGCAACCCTAGAGTCGGACTCGACTGGCTTTCGAGCAAGGGAACCTTTACCTTTACCTTTATTGCGAAGGTAAAAGCGTTCCGTGCACCTCGGCGTTTAGTCATGCTGGCCACATGACCATGGAAACGTCTTCCGACAGCGCTGGCTCTTCGGCTTGGAAATGGGGATGAGCACCGCCCCCTAGAGTTGGATTTGACTAGCTTTTGAGGAAGGGAAACCTTTACCTATTGGGACTGGGTCCCACTGATTTCCAGTGAAGCAGTAGAAAACCTAGTGGTGGAGGGAAGGTGCAGAAGAATGTATTAATATGACAAAGAATTATATCCACCGAGTCTTTTCTGCTGCTAATTACCAAGGGGTTTCCTTCCCCTGTTACCTGACATGGCAGGAGGGACTTTTACAGATTCTATTGTTCCCCTTACTCAGAGGGACTGAGGGAGCACCTTTCAAGAGGCAAGATAGCAAGCACAAACTTAGGGAATCTTGCACCACTGAGATCCTTCGGACTCAATAATATCCCTAATGAAATGGAGCAGGATTCTTCTTTTCCTATCAGACTGATTCTCTGTTGCCTGCAGCTTACAGAGGGCAGGGGCTGATTCCTGTAAGAAGTCCACAAAACGATGCCAATTCATTCTGATTGTGGGGGGGGGGCAGTGAGAAAGTGTTACTTCTGACAGAGACAGGTTAATCCTGATAGTCTGGCATGGAAGTTAGCCTGCCAGGCTATCAGCCGGTTTGCTGTAAAGCAGACCTGCATCACTTGTGACTTGGCAGGCCAAAAGTAGCTCAGCAGCTTTACATTGTGACATGCCAGGTGCTTGACATGCCCCAAGATTTTGCCCTGCTACACAGAGTGCAAAATCAGGAGTGTTGTCAACCTGCAAGTTGGCTGCTATGGTTTGCAATATTGATCCTGTATTTTGATGTTCTAGTTCAGGGGTCTAGAGTCCATCACTTAAGTTGCAGCAAGGAGAGAAACTGCGTTTTGGGATGCAGGACGATCAGCTTGTGCAAGGCTTGCAAATAGCTACTTGCCTGCACTGGGTAAGAATTGCAACAAGGCTGTCAGGCAAGGAAGCTTTTGGAAACTGGAAATGCAGTTCTGTTCATCATTGATCTTCTGTGCAGTCCTTCATGGGGACTGCACATGAGCTGGCCTGCTGTGGAGAGGTTTCTTTAGCTAAAACCCTCTAGGGAGTGCTGTGCACCAGAGCTGGAGCCAGACCGTAACCGCCTAGACAGTCGCATGCTCCCACATTCCAGGGCCCCCACCCTCCCAAGTCTTTCTCATCGCTGAATGAGAAGGTTCTAGCTCTGCTTCTTCTGTAAGTCTTCGTTCTTCAGTCACTGTGTGTGAGTTGTTCAGAGCCCTTACCCTCCTCCAGGCTTGCCCCTACCCCTCACCTTACTGTGTGGCAGGCGGTTGGCGATCCCGTATGCCTGGCATGGCACAGAGGAATGCACCCATTGTGGTGCCAAAATGATGCAGACAGATGAGTATGAATGCCACTTGTTCTACTTGGGAGAAGGACACAATATGACTGCCTGTAAGGCCTGGCAATGCTTCATGCCTAAGGCTAGAGGGGATTGGGCATCAAAGCTCAATGCTGCACTTTAGGAGAAAGCGGTTAAATCCACCGATGCCCCATCGAACCCGACCTTGGCTCTGGAGCACTGACCCAAAGCTTCTTCCTCCGAACTGGCCAGGTTGGTTCCATCGATTCCCCAATCCGAATTGTGATGGATCCAATCACGATCTTGATCACCACTGACCCAGAGATGCTCCTCTGAACTGCCAACCAAGAAGCCCAAACTTAAAACCAAACATAAAGAAAAGCATAGATCAGATCCAAGCATCATGTATCAACCTGAGCACCCAATCTGACTGCCTAACCCTGTGAGGTTTTAGCTCCTCTAAAGACTCCATCACCTGGGCCAGGTTCACCATCACTATCCATTTTTGAAGGGGAGATCAAAACAGACCTGATGGGTATCTCAGCTCCAGGCGTGCTTGAATCTGAATCCAACCCACCAGTTCCATGGTCGCAGCCTCCAGTCTCTATTCCCTGGCCTCCACATCCGAGCCCATGTTTTATGTCCCCAACATATCTTGCTCAGTGGGGGGATTATTACACTTCGAGAGCCAGAACTGATCCATTTCAGAGCCGACTGTCCCAGCATAGATCGCCTTCTTACCTGCCATCAACTACAGTTTCTAGGAGAGCACTTTCACCCAGTGAGGTCTCTGATATGGAGGAAGGTGAAGACAGGGCCCTTGGACACCCACAGATGAGTCCCAGATGAGCCCCAGTATCTCCTACAGAGGTTCTGCGTATGTATGGAGAACAGACATTGAGGATGGCAGAGTCTCGAGACTGAAGTGGCAACAACCGATCACAAACCTAAAGATAAGATTTTGGCCGTCTGTACTCAGAGCCACCTGGCATTATTGCCTTTCCCATGCTGAAAGGTTTGAATGACCTAACCCATGAATTGTGGCAGAAGCCAGCATCCCTTCAAGCCACATCTCGGAACACAGAGCATTTCTTTAAGATCAAACAGGACCCTGTCAACTATTTGACCACTCATCCACTCTCTTCCTCATTCATAACAGAGGAGATGCAGGCCAGGGGGCAACAATCCTATCATGCTGCGTCAACTGATAGGGAAGGTAGAATATTAGACACCCTGGGGTATAAGATATACTCCTCTTCGGCCTTGGGTTTCAGGATCTCAGATTACCAGGCTGTCATGGCCGGCTATCAGCTCTTTCTGTGGGAAGGATTCTCCCATATCTCAAACTGTTATCTGAGGAGAAATGACCCCTCCCTAAGCTGCTTCAGGCTGAGGCAATCAAAACTGTCCGAACAGCAGATTAATGCCAGCTGCCATACAGCTTACTCAGTTGCAAGAACAGTGGCCAGTCCCATTGTTTCATAGTGTCATGCCTGGGTGAGGTTGACCATACTACCTGTGGAGACAAGACAAAAAGTGGAGTACCTGCTCTTTGAAGGCGCAACTTTGTTTTTGGAGAAAACTGAGGAGTCTTTCTCATAGATTAAAAAGAATAAACAGACTGCGAAATCCCTGGGCATTATGCACTCAAGCTCCTCTCAGTTTAAACAGCAGCCCTTCCCTCGTCAGCTCTGGTAGCCTTACCAGAGAGACTATCATTATTTTAGTCCCTCAAGGTCATAGCATCCTGCCTCCAAACCCTTTCTACCTCAACAGGGTTACTCAAAAAAGAAAAGTGCTCCCAAACCTAGACAGGGATACCAATCCCAGCAAGCCTAAGGCTCTCACCAGCCTCATAAGGCTGCATTTTGACTAGCCTTACTTCTGGCAACTGTCAGACTTATTCCAGTTTCTTTTTAGTTGATAAAAAAGATGGTGGAACTAGACCCATCCTAGATCTTCAAGGCCTAAATGTCTACCTCTCTTTCGAAATTCTGCTTGGTCTCACTAGTATTGGTTATGCAGTTATTAAAGTTGGACTTATGGTTCATTGTTATTGACTTGACAGATGCCTACTTTCATGTTTCTATCCATCATCAATATCGCAAATATCTGTGATTCCATTATGGGTGGGAAGTCTCCCAATACACTGTATTACCCTTTGGTTTAGCCACTGCCCCTACCTACACCTACAGGGTATTTCCCTACTTTAGATGATTGGCTTCTGTCGGTGCAGTTGAATGAAAGTCTCCTAGCCTTCCACTCTGTTGTCTTAAAGGTTTGTGAGAAGCTAGGCCCCTTGATTAATTGTGAAAAGTCAAGAATGGTCCCTTCTCAGAGAATACAGTTTATTGGAGCCATCTTGGATTATGTATTGGCTGGAGGGTTCCTGCCAGCCAATAGAGTTGAGGCCCTTACCAATATGTTGGGAAGGTGTACCCATAGGCATTTTCAGACAGTGCATAGTATGCAATGCCTGCTGGGTTTGATGACTTTCTATGCACCTTTTCCAGCTCTGGTTTTTCTCTCATTTCATACTCAGTGGCATAGATTATCTATCCCTAGACCTGTGATCAATTCCCTACAATGGTGGTCCTCTGCTGAGAATTTGAAACAGGGTGTCCCATTTGGGGTTCCCCAGTGTGAGGTTACGTTAACTACTGACTCTTCCTTGATGGTTTGGGGGTTAGCTGTTCCACAGATACCCTATGAAATCATACAGTTCTGGTTCAAATGGACAATATGACCACAATGTCTTATTTGAACAAGTGGAAGGGGGGGGGTACAGGCTCCAGGAGCTTGTGCCAAGGAACTTTGGCAGTGTGGTCATGGGCAGTAGGACTGCATGCAACTATTAATGCCATCCATATCTCCGGTGTTCTCAACACAGAGGCAAACATATTAAGTCGGACGGTTTCCTGCACTCACAAATTGTCCCATCAGTCTTTGCCCTATGGAAGGTTCTGGAAGGGGACCTTTTTGCTGCAAGGGAAAATGCCAAAGCTCTCAGGTTTCATTGGGGATGCATTCCAGATCCCATGACGGGGTGCTCTGTTTTATACTTTCCCACCTTTTCCCCTACTCATCAGAGTTATAGAAAGAATTAGGAGAGACGGTACAGACATGATTCTAGTGGCCCCTTTCTGAACCTGCCAGATATGTTATTCCACCCTCATGGACATAGCGCAGGGGCAGCATCTCCGATTCCCGAGCAAGCCAGAGCTAGAGAGCATAGGCCTGGTGCTGCATCACAATGTCAGCCATCTCCGCTTGACAGCAAGAAGGCTCTAGACTGCAACCTAGTTTTCTCCCATTGAAGTCAATGAGATCCTCCTACATTCACGTAAACCATCCACTAGATGTTCGTATCTCTTTAAATGGAGATTTTTCTCTGAATGGTGACAGGACAAAGGTACCTCCCCCTCTCAGGCACCTCTGCAGACAATATTTGAGTTCTTAAATCTGGGGGTTTAGTTTACTCTTTGCTTAAGGCACATTTATTAGCTATATACTGCTACCGTATGGATCTGGCAGGAAAGTCTGCCTTCCCTCACGGACTGCACAAAAGATTTCTCGGAGGCCTGTTTAATACGTATCCACCACAGGAGCTTCATGCTTCCCAGTGGTCCCTTTTGGTAGCTTTGTCAACATTGATGTTTGAGCCCTTTGAACCTTTAGCTGCATGCCCACTGGCCATTTTGTCCGTGAAGGTCCATTTTTGATGGCCAGCAAATTTGCTGCACTGAGGATGGACCTGCCTTTACTTAAAGTGTTTCAGGAGTGAATGGTCCTGCAACTCAGTATTCGGTTCTTGCCCAAGGGTTGTTTCGAGATTCTGTCTCTCCCAAAAGACCATAGTGCCAGTGTTCTTTCCATCACTAGCTACCGAAAATGAAAAAACCTTACACGCTTTAGATCTAAGGAGAGCTTTATTTTTTTACTTTCCAAGGACCCTTGATTTCAGGAGAGATAAGGCTCTTTTCGTGTGTTATGTGGGTTCCAACAGGGGTAAGAGGGTTTCTTCCCAGACTCTTGTCAAGATGGATCGTGTCAGCGATTAGTACATGTTACGCACAGGCCAAGCTTCCACGTCCATTGGGAGTGTGTGCCCATTCCACCAGAGCAATGGCTTCCTATGCTGCCATTTTGGATGGAGTTCCCCTGTCGGAGATTTGTCGGGCTGCGACATCGTCATTGGCAGATACATTTGTACGTCACTATGCAGTGGGCCTGCAAGCTAGAAGAGAGGCACAAGTCGGCAAAGCAGTTCTCCAGCCGTTGTTCAAGTGATGAGCGTATCCCCCCCCCCCCGGCCTGGTGTGTAGCTTGTCAGAATCCCCATGTGGGACTGCATAGAAGACTGACGATGAAAACAGGGTTATGCTTAACCTGTAACTGTTGTTCAATGAGGATCTTCTGTGCAGGCACACATACCCTCCCTCCTGCCCTGCTGTATGCTCTCTCTTTGGTTTTGGTTTTCGCTAGAGGAACTGAGGGTGGGGGTACTGAGAAGTGGGAGCATGTGACTGTTTGGGCTAAAAGTCCTAGAGGGGGTTTTGGCTAGAAAAACCTCTCCACGGCAGGCCTGCTCACGCACAGTCCCCATGTGTACCTGCACAGAAGATCCTTGATGAACAACAGGTACAGGTAGGTGCAACCCTGATTTTTCCATATGAATATAGGTTGTGTGGCCTGGTGTACTATGAATTTTTCTAATGTAGAGTGGTAGGTTTTTGTGAACATAGATGCAAGGCTGACTATGTAGCACCAATCTTTTGTTTTCTTGAAGGCCACCAGCAATGCACTCGGCAGACTTTGCCTCTCTGCCATTGCTGTACGGTTTCTAAGTGTTTAAAACGATGCTCAGGAGTCTATAGGGCAATAAAAGGGTTAAGTCATTGAGTCCTCCCTCCAGAGCTTTCCTCTGTGTTATCCAGCTCACTGCTCTTGAATTCAGCTCTATGAAGCAGATGCTAAACACTCCAGTTTTTCACTTTTTTTCCCTGAGCTTTCCCCTTTGGCTCTGTTGAAAGCTTTTCCTTGTTTGCTTTGAAGGTTAGTGAAGCAGACAGATGGAGAGGAAAATGACTGCTTCTCCACCGTCCTCCCCATGGGCTCCAATGCCTGCACTTTCCCCGATGCCACGCTTTGCACCTTCACTCTGCTCAACGATGTCCTCGTCACCCTCTCCCAAGTTCAGGGGAAGTGGTGCATGAATCTCCACAAGCTCCCAAGCCCCGAGGACCAGGAGAACTTGCTGCGTCAACCAATCAGCCATGTGGATATCACCACCTGCACGAGCAATGATGGGGACGTGTCCCTAGCTCACTTTCTTCCAGTCCTCTGTTGTGCATCTTCTCCTAGCACCAGTGGTTCCAAGGAGGGTCTTCGCCACTCAGGAGGATTCATTCTGGAGGAGCCTCTCTTCAGCCTCCTGTTTGGTGTTGATGCTGCCATGTTGGATTCCCCCATGATCCTGTGTGGCTTCCCAGATGGACAGTTGTGCTCCGTGCCACTGAAGTCTCTGAGTTCTCCTGACAACCGCTGTTGCGAAGATTCACCTGTCAAGATCCTTCATCATTTGGAGGAGCCAGTTGTCTTCATTGGGGCCTTGAGGACAGAGCGGAAGTCCCCGGAAGCCGAAGAGGCGCCTGCATTTGGAGACTTAGGCTGCGACTGTGTCGTGGCTCTGGGGCACTACGGGAAAATGGTGGCCATCAAGGCAGCTCAGGGGGAAGAAGTCAAGGTCCCAGAGCTCCGAGAATATTGCCTGCAGGGGCCTGTCCTGTGCGCAGCGTGCAGTGGAGGCAGCCGCATGTACTACAGCACCCACTCTGACATCTATGCTGTCGACATGGATAGTAACACCACCGATGCAGAGAAGTTGGAGGACTCCTCTGGGACCCTCCCACCTGCTTTGTCTCCTGCCAGCTTGAGTATCTGCAGCGTGGTGGCCCTTTCCTTATCTTCCCGAGAGTCAGAAGGTACTAGAGTATTTGGGAAATGACCCTGTGAGTCACAGGGATAGCTTTGTCACGCAGTGGTTATCTACACATCCCTCAGAAATGCTACTTGTAAGTTGCGAGGAAAAAATTATCAGTGGTGAGGGGCTAGGATGGTTCCTTAACTGTGGCCTGTGGGTGCTAGATCTAGGCTCTGCTACTTCTATGCAGCCTATACTAGTCTGTGGGATCTTCACACAGAACAACAGTTAGCTATGAAAAGAAGTTAGCTATGAAAAGAAGGCTAAGCTATTCTAAAACTACACTTTTGATGTATGCTGAGGCTCAGAAACTGGAGGCCTCTGCGCTGACTCCAGTCCTCAATGGCACCTAACCTTTTGGTTGCCAGTCTAGAGAGAGAAGATGAGGCCAACAAAGGAGTAGGAGATTTGGAACTGGTTTTTTTTGGCAGTCCTCCCTGGGCTGCTGGTTTTGGCCAGGGGACAGATGACTGTTTGTGAGAGAGCTCAGGGGCAGTATGTCCATGCTCTGACCAAAAGGGGTTTTTCTTTTGCTTCCATCTCCTCTTTTCCTTGCTAAGACTCAAAATTTGCATTCTCTCTGGTTCCTTTGTCAGGCTTGCCAAGTCAGCTGAATAGGGCGGGAATTTTTGTTTTGTGTAGTGTGAAGGGGAGCAACCACCTACACGCTGAAGAGGCAGTGAAGGATTCAGAACAGATTTTTGCACTGATGCTTCCCAGTGGCAGGATACTGTTGTTGCCTCATTCTCCAAGTGAGATAGAAGGGGACTGCCTAGAGCTGCTCCCTCCACTGCTCTTGGTTCCAAACAAACCAAGCTCAAGGATTTACTCAACATTTGGATTTCTGCAAAACTGAAAACTATCTTTGCACATTTCTAATAAAGAAACAGGCAGAAAGGGGAAAGGCCTGGGTTCAGAGCGGGCAGCAAGACAGGGACTAAGAGCCACAGAGGAGAGAGCGAGAGCTCTGTCAACCTCTGGACTGAACATCCTGATGACAAGGGCTTGCAGACGAGGCAGAAGCGCAGAGCACATGCGTTGCATGCAGCGGCTCCCCAGTTCAGTCCCTGGCCTCTCTAGTTAAAATACGCCTATTTGTTGGTCAGGAGTTTCTTCCTGAGCTGCCGCCAGCGTAGACGTTGCTAGATGGATCAGTGGTCTGACTCAACATAAAGCAGCTTCTTATCTTCACGTGTTCCTTAAGGGAGTGCAACAGGGAGCTATAGAGCTGAATGGAAGCATAATGAAGCTGGCTAGCAGAAGTGCCCTGTCTAGGTGGGGGGATTCCATGTGCAGCAAGAGGGTGCGCCTTTGCACACCTTCCCCTGAGTGCTGGAGAACTCTTCTTGGACGCAGGTTCTCCATCACTTCAAAGCCAGCCACTTTGGCTGCTTGATACTTTTCCAGCATTGCTCCCCACTGTGATGTTCTGTGGAGAAGAAGCACTAGGGAGCCACATCTCCATGCATATGTTCCTGGAGGAGGGGGTACTGTGTGCCTACTGGCAAGTAACTGGGAGCTGCCTTTGTAATGAGATGACTGCTGCAGCAGCAGGGAGCATTTTCTTTCCTTTGCTTGCTTCTCTGCAGGATCCCTGGGACTGCTGTGCATCTTTCCCCCCGCCCCATGAGCACTGTCTCCCAGCACCATCCATTTATATGCCCCTGCATGAGCTCATAGTCTTGCTCACAAATTCATAGTTGGGGGCAGAGGATATGGCTTCTGAAATTGCTTGCTTGCTTATGGGAGCGATATCCCTGTGCACAGGCTTCTGAACCTTCAACACAGACTAATCCTCATGATTCCCCCACTCCAGATATTTCCACATGCAAATAACTCCTCTTTGGAAGCTGCAGTCGAGTTATCTGGTGGCTTTGGAAGGATTCTTTATGAGGGCTGTCCCCCCGCATGGGAACACTATGCGATTCCCAAGAACTAGGGCATCCTGCACAGAAGCAGAATATTTCAGACAGGAACATTCCCAGCAGAGAAGCCCATGTCATCCAGGTGGTTTATGCTATGCAAACTGGTGTATGCATTGGCCATGTAGGTCCAAGTGAGTGAAAGGGAAGATGGAAACCTCTTTGGGTCAGTCTGTCCTGTGGGCTGGGGCGTTCTTTTGCAGCTTGAGACTGAAAGGTGCCTCCCACCCATGGTGGAAAAGCAGTAGCCATCTGTCGGCTGAGTCTTAACCAAGATAAAACATGATACCTCATGTTTACTGGTTAGCCTTGTCTGGCCGCATGCACATGTGTGGTTCAGCTTATGGTATCCTTTTCAAGAGGTGCCCTTACTCCTTAATTTCTGGTTTCTTATGGTGGAGTAGGGTCCTTTCTGTTCCTCAGTCTGCAGAGAAGGCCGCTTCCTGTCTAGACAGTGAAGCAAAGGAGAAATCTGGGGTATCCCCACGTGACTTCACTATCTGATCTTATGTGTATGGAAATGTAATGTGTGTATGAGTGAACATTGCAGAAGCAAAATGCTTGTTCCTGAATACACCGTGCAAAAGCTCCTTAGTCTGTTCACGTGAATGTGTCTTCTGCTGCATTGAGGAGAGTAGGAGGGAGGGAGCAAAGCTGCAAATCCTCTTGCGGATGGCTCCTAGCCTCTCTGCTTCATGTGTCCGTGCATGCCTTCTCCTCAGGTGAGTCTGAACTCCTGGCTTTGTCTGCGAAGGGCCGACTCATGACCTGTGGCTTGTGCAGCCCAGACGATACCCAGCCTGTCAAGATGAATCCCGATAAAGCTGGACAGAGAATCAAAGAGCTGCTCTCTGGGATAGGCCATGTCTCTGAAAGGTCAGATCTGTTCTCTTTTTGTCACTGTCCTCTGCCCTTCCCCACACCCTGTAGTCATACAACCATCTTGTAATGCTTAGTTTTGTCTAACTCTTACTGGATTTTTCTGTCTGAATAAGTGGGCTTTGGAAGTCTGATGGCAACATCTGTTGAAAGCAAAAATCTGCCCACTGTGAGCCTGAGTGAGTTATGAAGGGATGCTCAGTTGTTCTTAAGCATCTGTTTGGCAGTTATGAGAAAAGTACATGTCTTTATATATTGCGGGGAAGGGGTTATGTTAGTGTGGCTCTTCCTCCCTTGTTTGGTTCTTGCTACTGCTAACGTCTGTTTGGGAGCTAATTTAAAGGAGACATGCAGATAACCTCTGGCTAGTGTAGAGTCTATTGACTTGGAATTGCCTTGGCCACTCTAGCAAAGCAAGCAGTTAAGCCTTCTGTGGTATTAATTAGAAATGCTCCTTGATGTGCATATTCAGGCAGGAAATAGGGTATCTGGAGGTTGTTTGTCCTATCCAGTATTATGACATTGGGATTCCAGCTTCTTCACTTATTTGTATTGGACAGATTTTAATGTTCACCTTAGCAGTAAATAATGTGCTGGTGCCAATGTTGGTTCCTTTCCCGATTACTGCAGAGTGTCGTCCCTAAAAAAAGTTGTGGACCAGAAGAACCGGGCTTTGACAAGCTTGAATCAGGTGATGAATGTGAGTGCGGCTCTGCTGTCCAGTCAGAATGGTCAGAAGCCCATCACTTGTACCATCGCTGCCCACTGGAGCCGCTTGCTAGTTCAGGATACCTTGACAGTCTCCTGCATATTAGAGAACTCGAGCGAGTGCAGCCTGGAGCGAGGCTGGACCCTCTGCGTTCAGCTCTTCGCCAGCTCCTATGACTTTGAGGAAGGCTCCTCAGATTCTGCCACCACGGATCCTGCCACCACCTACACCTTCCCTATAGATCAGCTTCTTCCTGGGAACAAGACGGAGGTGACACTGCCCTTAGGCCCTGCTGAGGGCTCCAAGCTGGAACTGCCTTTCACAGTCTCCTGTTCTCTCTACTATGGCCTGCGGGAGATCCTGGGCACTGTCTCAGAGTCCACCGAGCTGCTTGACGACCTCCTTTCTGATGATTCCCCTGGCCTTTCCCCAGACAGAGAAGGTATCTACCTGCCCTTGAAGGAAGTCACCATTGACATCCTGCATTGCCTCCGCTTGGATGGTGGCAGCAGAGGATCTGAAGCTACCTCACCTGCAGCTGCCATCTCTCTCCCTATGGATCCACTTGATACCTTCCTGAAACTGTCCCGGGTGCAGTCTGATCTCGAGAGCATGGAAAGTGGTGAAGAGCTTGTTCCAAGTGCTCTGGGAGAGGATTACTTGGCTCCATCGGTGGCTTCTATCAAGGTGTCCTCTGAGTTGCTGAGAACTGCCCTGAAAGACACTTCTGAAGGTGTGTGATTTCTCTGAACACTATTAACCTACTTGCATTCTCCCCCTCTGCCTGCTCCTCAACTCTCTGAGTCCTCTCTGTATTGATGGTTCCCAGATGTTGTTTGCACACACTGGAAGAGGCAGTGTTTCTGTTTACAGAGGGTGCTGTTGGGGATGTGTGTAGATGATTGGCTATGAGCAAGTTTATCACAACTCTGGGGAACTTCAATCCAAGCTGTATGGCCAGTGGCCTCTGTTTGTGTGTGTGTGATATATATTTACCCCACAGAATTCAGAGTGGTTTGTGCTCAGGTAGTATACTGGACCAGATCAGACCTGCTTAGCTTCAGCACCATTCAAGGGAATGAAGGTGTTAGCACAAATTCACCACTCTCTCTACACGGAAATTATCATGACCTTTATCAAAAGTAGTTTGAAGCATCTTGTATTTCAGCATATGTTCTGGAGTTAGACTTGGTGCAAAAACGTCCCTGGACCAGCTTGTATGTATGGCAGAAGATATTTAATGGGAAAGAGAATGTTCTGAAGGCCCATGACATTGCTGAAGCTAAGCAGATATGATCTGGTATTCTCTCTCTCTCTTTCTCCCCCTCTCCCTCTCCCATCAAGTCACAAGCTGACTTACAGTGACTCCATGGGGTTTCCAAGGCAAGAGACATTCAGAGGTGGGTTGCCATAGCCTACCTCCACATCACAACCTTGGTATTCCGTGGTGGTTTCCCATCCAAATACTGACCAGGGCCAACCCTGCTTAGTTTCTGAGACATGATGAGATCAGACTATCCGGGGCCATCCAGGTCAGGGCATCCTGAAATATAAGATGCTTCAAACTACTTTTGATAAAGGTCATAATAATTTCCCTGTAGAGATAGTGGCAAGTCTGTGCTTGCATCTTCATTCCCTTGAATGGTGCTGCAGGATTGTAGGTGGAACCCTTTTAAAACAACTCTCTGAAGGTACTGACCAATGCAGTGTGGCTTTGCTTTTCCTTTGGGTGAAAGTTCCATTGCTCTGAACTCCAGGGTCGTCGTGCTCATGTTGAGATCTCCTCGGAGACATGTGCCTCTCAGGGGGAAAAATCATGGTTGGAAATTCATTTGCTTTGCTGCAGCTCGGTGATTTCTTTGCTTAAGAGCTGTAGTTTCTGCTGTAAATGTAGATGGATACTTGTAGCCAAGGTCAGAGTGTGCTGATTGCCAAAAGAGCCACACTTTGTTCCCCAAGGAGTTAAATTCAGCATCTGCATTTAATAATGCTGCATAAAAATTTGAATGGATTTTAATTATTTGTTTACAAAATTTATTCCCTGCCTTTCTACCCTTATCGGAGCCGCTAAGGCAGCTAACAGATTAAAAACATATATAATGAAAACATGTCTTAAAAATCATTAAGACCAAACAAAAACACATCATTTGCCCTGACCTGGATAGGCAAGCCCTATCTTGTCAGATCTTGGAAGCTAAGCAGGGCCAATGCTAGCAAGTACTTGGAAGGGTGACCTCCAAAGAATACCAGGGCCGGGACACAGAGGCAGGTAATATCAAAGCCACCTCTCCAAAAGATCCTAGCCCCACCGCCAGGCTTGCATGCACGCACGCACGAGCGCGCGCACACACACAAATACGCTCCAAAAAACCACATCATTCAAACAAGTAAAACCAAGTTAAAATTCACATACAATACAATAAAGTACACATACATAAAACCAACAAAAACAGTGCTGGAAAGAGGGATCACAGAGGGAACATGAGGCAAAACAAGTCTTCACCTGCTGGCAGAAGACAGCAACGGAAGGGGGACAGGCAAGTCTCCCTGGGGAGAGAGTTCCAGAGTTCTGGTGCCACGGCTGAGAAGGCCTTGTCCTGGCTTGCCACCCACCTAATCTCAGAGGAATATGCATTATTTTTCCTTATTAGCATATTAAGGTTTTCAGTTTTGATTTGTTTGGCCCAAACTGGAGCAGCAGAGGAGAGAAGTGCGACACAACAGAGATTTCAGTCAGTCACCTTGTTCTCTGTGCTAGAACAGCCAGTGCTAGAACAGCCAGTGCTTTCAGATCAGTCCTCCTGAAATCTGCAAGGATGATCTCCCATGTCTTACTGCTTCTGTCCTACTTCTTGGGCGGGGCTTATCTGCCTGTCAGTGATTGGCATGTATCCTTTTACTAAGTGTTCATTGCAGCTGCTCTGGTGAAAACTTAGGTAAATGCAGGCCTGTCTCATGCTGTGTTAGATCACTCCATGTACCTAATCAGGCTGTTGACCTGCATCAGATTATCCTTTTGTGTGACAGCAGATCTTGTGCCCCTGCTATGCTGTGCTGTGTCAAAACTGGAAGGACCAGGGGGATCAGCGAGTCTTCTGCAAGACAACCACTGTTGTTTGCCCTCAGATCCCACCGTGCCCTTTACCTTCACTCTGGCCATTTTTGACAGGCAGCATCCTCCAGGCATTTGGTGTGATTGAACCCCCTGCATGGTTGGTTTGGAAGTCAGCAAAGTGGAGGTATAAATGCTAATTGGGCAACCACCATGTGGGCGTGGTCTACACGTGCAGCAGAATGAGGAACGCAGTGAGGTGGCAGCTTCACGTGATACTGGCTACTCTAACAGCTCATGCTTCTGCATGTGGAGACCAGGCCTCCCAGAGCCCATCTAATGAGCTAAATGGAACCTCCACACTAGGAGGCAGCCTGCCTGTGGAGTGCCTGTGAATGCCAGTTGTCGGGGCCATGGGTCAGTAGCAGAAGGGAGGCTTTGGTCTCCATGCCCTAATTGTGGACCTCTGGCTGGCTACTGTAGGAGAACACGCTGCTGGACTTGATGAACCATGGGTCTGGTCGAGCAAGGCCTTTCTTGTGTCCTTAATGGCGTTTGTTCTTCTGATCTTGTCATGCAGGAGCATCGCTGTGCTGCGCTGCACTGTGCTGGTTGCTGGCAGAGAATGCTGAGACAGCTGCGCTCCAAGGCCAGGATGCAACAACAGTGCAGGGGCTGGCCCCAGACGGAGGAGAGGTGCAGCTGAACATCCGAGAGGCAAGGCATGAGTTAACCATGGAAAGGGGTTGCATGCTGTGGACTGACCCTGCAGGACAATCAGTGGGGAATTGCTTCTAAGGGGCTATCTGCTGTTGGCCAAGCCGTAACCTGGGATTGCTCCAACAGAGAACAGAGCCATGTAGGCACCCCTGCCCTAACTGTTGTCTTGCCTTGAGTTTTCTGGACTCCTTGAGTGACTGCAGTCTCTCTCTGCTCTTTGGGTTCCCAAAACTAATGTGGCTACTTGTCTCACACTTTAGACGCTGAACAGAGTTTCTCTCTGGTGGGAACTCTAGATGTTACAGCAGAGGGCAGGAGAAGTGAGCCTAGAATATCTGAGTAGGGTGTCCTGGTGTTCAGTCATCCTGCAGTTGGTTAAAATCCTTTTCTTATCACAGAACGTGGGCACACGTTGGGGCATGAATGGTAGCTGTGCAGTGCTCCAGCGCATGTAAGGAGATCTGCATGCACAGGACATGCCCCATTATTTTGTACTAGCCTGCTACCCATGCTTCACTACGGTATTTAAGTTCTGTAAATCCACTTATAATACTGATGATGTGAAATATGAAATGTGACATTTGTTGTATGAATTCTAACAGAGAAGATCGTAGTGTAAGAAATGAAGACATACGTACTTTTTTCTCTCTCTACCGAAGGACCTCTCTCTAGACCACATTGGTGGTTCTGCCCTCAGGTGCTTAGATCACATGGTTGCTTGGTGAGCTCACTCTGGAGCAGGCCACATAGAACTGTCCATTTAAGAAGCAGTCGTCTGTTAAGTCAACTCCTGCCACCTTCCACGAAAGTGATGGCCTCTCTACTTGTGTTCCTGGATTGTTTTGCTCATATGGAGACTGTGTTGTTCTGAGCACCTCAGGGTGATCTTGCTGGTACTTGGCCTGTGCAGCTCAGTGCACTGCAGGAGTACTATGTGCAAATGTCTTTGCCACATTCCTACATTGCCTCCTCCTCGTAGCATTGGTGTATCTGGCTTGACGTTTGCCAGGAGCTTTCTTGGGGGCAGTAGGAAGTGAGAGGTGTGAGGGGAAGTTGGTGTGAGGGAGTGGTGATGTGGTGGACATTTCTTCAGGTTCATGAGGGAGGCAGTAAGAAGTGAGAGGTGTGAGGGGAAGTTGGTGTGAGGGAGTGGTGATGTGGTGGACATTTCTTCAGGTTCATGAGGGAGGCACATATCAAAATGGCTCCCCATAAACATTCATACCCTGGCCCTGCTCCTACACCTGACAGACACAGGCCTGTCTGGTGTTGGGGAGGGATTGTATTTAAAGGCATCAAGGAGGCTGGGCCAGCAGCAGTGCTAAGGCAATCCTGCTGAGCAAACCTCCCCGGCGGCTGTAAGCATCCTACTTCCTGTCCTATACCTGGCAGGCAGCTGCCTGTCCAGTGTAGGATGGGAAGGGGGGAGGAGTATTAGAAGCCACTGTGGAGGCAGGGCTGGCAGGATCACTAAGGGGCAGGCTCCCTCGTGCTTTAAACACCCTGCAACTGCTGCTGCACCTGACAGACAACCGCCTGTTAGGTATAGGAGGTGGGGGGAGTGTGTTGGAAGCCATCCCACCTCCTCTCCTACACCTGACAGGCAGCTGCCTAGCCAGTGTAGGAGGGGGAGGGGGAAGGAGTATTAGAAGTCACTGTGGAGGTGGGGCTGCACCTGACAGACAATCGCCTGTTAGGTGTAGGAGGTGGGGGGAGTGTGTTGGAAGCCATCAGAGAGGCTGGGCCAGCAGCTTTGCTTCACCTCACAGGTGGTTCTTGGCCACTCCCCATTTCCTCAACTGTCATTAGCTCTGTGCAGTCCCACCACCCCCTATATAGGGGGTGGTGGCAGTCCCCTGTAACGTTGTTTTTTTACCTCAGAACACTGAGCTCTGCGGCTGACCAATTAGAGAGTGGGGGGGTGCAGAGAGGCAGCTGCCTGCCAGCCACATAGGAATCAATGGGGGGAGCACATTTTCCCCCTTTTGACCCACTTAGGGGTCGAATTTCTAAAAATCCCTTCTAAGCGAGCACCTATGCCATGGTAGGAACGCTCTCCCTGTATTTGGTGTCTCTAGATCCAGCGGTTTGGTTTTACGGTGAGGGGACTTTCTTTTATATAGATGAGTTGGGAAATGGTTGTTGTGCATGTGGAGCAATCCCTGACCTGCAGAAGAATGGAGGCAAGACTTGCACATGCAGAGTTTCGTATGTGCATTGAAGTCCCCACATATACGCCAGAGCCACTGGATTTACAGTGGTCAGGTTTTAACTAATGGTATTGTCCTTGAGTATTGTGATGTTGGAGAGAATTCCTTGACTGGAGGCAAATTTCTCACTTCCTCGCTTTCATTCAGTGCCACAGTTTGGTCTGAAAAGTGTAGCCAAAGAAGCCTTTATTATATTAAGACATCAGACAGATCAGTTTCTCTAGATGGCCACTGCCTTGGGGCAAGGGCTCCCAGAACATACTGTATGTGAGAACCCTTCCAGCTGCTCCTGTAACCATGTCCTAGCTAAGGGCCACCGTCCTCACCCATGATTATGTAGTTAAGCCCAATGCTGCTGCAGCTACAGGAGTGGGATTTAAAGTACAGCTTCAAACAACTAGTTTCTTTGCTCATCAGCCATGGCACATTTCTGCTAATTCTTCCATCCAAGAGGGAGGATGGTCACATTGGAGTTTTTAAGCTCTGGCTGCCCCCCTGTTTCCCCTTTTAATCCTCTTGGAGTAGCATGCAGCTGATGTTAATTGGTAGCCACCGCTCCTGCCATGGCTGGTTAACCTTCATGCAGGGGGAAGGAGGGGGCAGGAGCTGGTAGTGTCTGGGTTCCTCTGGCTTTGCGCATGAGAGCATTAATAACACCCGTGTGATTAGCTTCCCTGCTAATTCTGCTCCGGCTAAACCTCCCTAGATTAAGCGCTTCAGGGGTGCTTTTGGCTAGAGAATGGACAATAAGCCTCCTTGTTACAGCACAGGACAAAGGCTGTTGTCTCGGCATTTTTGCTGGCCACCCCTTGGATACCAGTTCAAACTTCAGTAAATCATGTTTGATGGGTCTTGGCATAATTCTGGTAAATTCAGTTAAGGTCGAGCATCTTTGCTTGTGTTAATGAGATTCTTGGTGCCTTCATGGGGCATCTGATTGGAACCTGGGTGAGCCTGGGGCCAGAAGGCGTTTCAGACACTGCCCCAGGCGGAGAAGGAAAGCAGAACTCAGTAACGTGCGCAGGAAGAGTTTTGCTGCTGTTTGGGGTCCAGTTGTCATTCTGCGGTTTGGGAAGGTGCTACCCCCAGCCTTGCTTAATAAAAAAAATTCCCTTTCCTTTGTTAGTATATTGCTTGGCTTACTTTCTTGAGTTTTCTGCAGTTTACAAAGTTGTGTTGCACCAGTAACTCTTGCTTGGGGTATCTTGTTCGCTCGAGTCCTCTGCTCACAGCACACTCTAATCTGGATTCAGCAGCTTAATTAATGTAGCATTAACGGTGTGTGTGTGAATGTTGATTAGTGCGCAGTCAGCCCTGTGTGAGCCTGGGTTTAGTGCGAGGTGGTTTTCGGGTCTGGTGAAAGGTATCAGATAATGGCCTCCTTGTTCCACAGGTGACTGTAAGTGACCTGAGCCCAGCAGGCCCCATCCAGGCTGTGGAGATCATAATCCAGAGCTCACTGCTAGCGAACATGTGCCAGTTGCACCATGCTGTGGTCAGGCGTATTCAGGTAGGTCAGATGCCTGGGAGGCAGGGGAGAGAATGCTGAATGCACGTCAGTCCTGCTGACTCCTCTGTTACGTGGAAAGTGTCTTAAACATTCGAGGGTTTGGAGTGCAATCCAGTGTGAAGTGGTGCCATCTCTTCCTGTTGCCTGGGCTACATTCTGGAGGTAAGTTTGGGTTGCTACGACCCTTGGCCATGTCGGGTCCTCTGCCGACAGAATATCCTCCACCCCATCCTTCCCCCACCCTGCCAGAGAGAGAGAGAGAGACCACATGAACGGCAACAAGAACAGACGTAGGCTCCCAAAAAGCAAGGAGTGTTTCTTTTTTCCCCTATCTCTTTCTCCAAAAAATCTGGAGGTTTTTTCCTCGCTGCTCAAATCTTTGTGAAACCTTCCTTTGTCCCAGAATAAAAGAAAATAAAAGCTCTGGCTAGGAGGCTTTTCTTGTTGGGCAAAGACATCTCTGACTGTTCAGAACCACCAATAACAGTATCCCCTCAGCACGGTCAGCATGAGAAAAGCAGGACAGCTTAGAAGTGTCCTGTCCCACTTTGATGTAGTGCCTGTCTTTAACAATGTTAGCTCTGCGTGAAGCCATGCAGAGTCCAATACTTTTGAATTTGGCTAGCTAATCTAGTCTTAATTAGCTGTGGTTTGGAGGATTTTTATTTATTTATTTTGTATGCAGGCTCTGGTTTTGGAGCAGGCCGCCCAGGACTCTTCTTCTCCGGATGTCCGTATGCAGTACCTCCACCAGATCCAAGCCAACCATGAGGTAAATTGTGTGCCACAGGAACAGATGCTTGCAGCATCCTTGGTCTTTGGATCGTTGCAGACAGACTGCTGAAGAGAAGGAAGGGGGAGGGGAGGACAAGAGGGCCCAGTTGCCTCTGCTTGGGCTGAGCCCTGGAATGGCATCCGCGCATGAGCGTCATTTGGCTTTCCCGGCCTTCCAGGGTTCAGTTGTCTCAGGCCCTATTGCACCTTCTAAATGCAGGAATTGGAGTTGACCAGGTATATGACTGGGAGCGGATTTATGTCTCACACTGTAACAACCGGCCAAAGATGGTCGCTGCCAGATTGGGTCTCCCCAGTTGCCTATGTTCCTTTTCTGTACACTTTCCGTAACCTAATTATTAACCCAGGCTCTCCCCCACCCCCTCCCTGAACGCAGACCTTCAGGTACATATTCATGACGTGTTCCAGATGATTTAGGAACTGGAGACACAAAACCTTTCAGCTGAGGTTTACACCCAAGGCCGGGTGTCGACTCAGTTATCTTTCTCCCCCTCTTCCCTTCCACTCACTCTGGATCACGTTCAGCTCCAAAGAAAGCTGCCTTCCGTGTCTGGAATACACTGTGCAAAACGTGTGCTCTTGCATTGTTAGTTCTGGTTGAGTTTTCCCCATAACCAAGAAATGTTTGGCAAGAATTAGGTAGTAGAGGGAGGAAGGGATATGTGGTCTAGGGGGTGGCAGAACTGGAGTCCTAAGGGGGGAGGAGGCCTGAAGGCCACGAGGGAGGACCGCTGCACTCCTTCTAAGGTGCCCCTGCATTACCAGCTACTCGCCGTCCTATCTAATCACACCACCCCTCCTTTGGCAGCTAACCCACAGCCTCTCTTCTCCTTTCTAGACACTCTTAAAGGAGGCACAGTCTCTCCGTGACCGTCTGTGCTTGGGGAATGATTCAGATGCAGCGGTGGAAAAACTCCTGCATGTTTACCGGCAGCTGCGCAACCCCAGCCTTGTCGTCCTGTGAATGCTGAGCTGTGGTTACCCATCCTGGCACACCATCGAAGGCTCCATGATCCTCTCTGCCCAGTGCCATTGGGTGGATGGCTGTACGCCTTGGGAACTGACTGAGGACCGGAGGGGTGTCATAGGAGGGAGGAGAGCAGGATTCTCTCTGGGCGAGCCCTGCTTCTGATTGGCTGTTCTGCTCGCGGCTGGAGATTGAAGGCTCAGGGGCTCCGCCCATTTAATTTATTATCTCGCCTTCCCCCTTCTAATGTGATTGTTTTTTGCAGGGTTCTGAATTCCTGCCCACCCCTGGCCGATCTGATCAGTGCCCCTTGGCGGTCTCACGCACAGGCAGAGCATCCGAGCAGGGCTGCCTGTGTGTCATGTGCGTGTTTGTGTGTGTGCCTATATGCAGATGGCCAACAAGGTGCTGTAGTGGGTGTGGGTGGTGTGTTGTGGATCACACTCGACGTCGCTAGTTCAGCTTCTTTTGCTTTCCGTGATGGTGGCTTTGCTGTGGCAGGCAGAAGTTTGGTGAGGTGCTTCTGCTTTTGGGGAGGGACAAGGGCAGGTTCTGCTGGTGAATGCTCAAAAAAAAAACACAACCACACAAAAAACAAAAAAAGGGCTATGCCTTTAGTTATGTCACACTTTTCGGAAACACTGTGGAAAAAAACAGGATGTCACATGCATAAGTAATTCTGGGGTGCTTTTAATATATGGTGCCCCTTCTTTTTCTAATGGGGTGTTTTGCTCCTTTTTCCAGTATTTGTCCTTTCTATAAACAACTTGCTTGTCTTATTTCCATGGTAAAGGCTCATCCAGGGTCATGTTGCATTTTGGTATTGCTTTTCAAGGGGGGAGGGTGTGTGTGTGTGTGTGTGTTTAATCCTTCTGGAAAAGGCCACGCATCTTTCCGGCATTTGTAAGGCTGTCATCTGCCATGAGAGCCTCCCTTTGCTGGGCAGTCTGGCTGCATCTCCTCTTCCCTCCCATCTGCTGGCAGGTACGCGGTGGAAGCTCGGGGGCCTCGACTGCATCCTCCCCGCTGAGCTAATGCGGTGTCTGCTTTAAAAGCTGCCTCCTCCCGATTAATAATTGAAAAGCCATTCGGTGAGCGCTGGCTGGCACTAAAGGCCATTAGGAAACGCTCCCAGCGCTCAGGGGTGAAAGATGCACACGCACTCTCCCGTGGCCCTGGAATAATGGATGTCGTGTTTGCCCTCTGACCTGCTGTGGGATCTTCACCTTGAGCCTCTGAAGCTCTTTCCAAGCAGATGGGGCTGCTCCCTCCCTCCCTCCCTCCCTCCCGCTGGTCCTCGCTGAGCCACTCAGTCAGTCTGGAAAGCATGGGGTGGAGAGGGAAGCAGTCATGAAAATAGAGGATCGTGATGGCTTTTCTTTTGCCTACGATCGACCTGCCTTTTGACTGTAGTGCAGGATCCTATAAGTGAGGAATGCCCTGCTAGCTGAGCTGGCCTGCGGGACGCCCCCACTGGTGTCTGCATCTCCAGAGCTTGTGCTTTTCAGCTTCTTTTGTGTGCTGCCCCTGCCAGGGCTGACACTTTACCCACTTCAGCTTCGGTAACTTCTCTCGGCCTCATTGTTTGTGGCATATGGGGGACTGGCCTACAAAGAGGGATGATCTGAGTTAAGCCTCTGTGGCCTTACTTGGTCCTCCTGAGCCTCGACCCGGCGCAGAGATGATCCTGCCTCTGCAGGGCCACCCCATCCTTCGTGTTCTTCATAAACATGAGTACAGGGAGGAGGAAGCTCTCCCTGGTGAAGGGCTTCTTGGCATGGCTCTCTGCCCCCTTTCCCTCTTACGAGTTACTGTAGCCAGGCAAGGTCCGTAGTGCTTTGGGCAGAGTCAAGTGGCGAGGAGCTGGGAGCTTAAGCCCCACATTTGGAGGGGGCGGTGGGGGACGACAAGCAGGGAACAAAGCGGGAGGGTGGCCGTGGTGTCTCTCCCGTGCACATTTGGAAAGGTTGAGGTTGAGGCAGCTGCCGGTGCTTCTGTCGGTTGGGATTTGCCGCTCGAGCGTGCCCGCTTGCCTCCCTCCCTTCCTGCTCAGTGAGTCTTGAATGGAGGAACTGACAGATCTGGGTCTTTGGGTCTTTTCAGTCACCCTGCAGGGCTAACCTAATTGGACTCCAGCCAGCAGCCAGTCAGCGCAGAGCGCAGCCGGAGAGCCAGAGCCCTACTCGCTCGGTGATTGGTGGAAGCTGTCGCCACCAGGAGCAAGGACGGCTCTTAGCTCCGCTCTGCTCAGAGAAGCAGCCTAGGCTGCTGTGGAGAGGAGCTCTTTCCGGAACTAGGGAGGGAAGGGACAGCGACAGGAATAACCCCATGAATCCTTGTTCTTGCTGGCCCCTGTGCAAACGGGCGGGAGTTGCTAAGTCGCACAGTCAGTGTCTCTGCATCGCAGGGCTTGTTGTGGTGAAAGCACGGGACTGCAACCCAGGACGAGGGGCTCTTCCTGAGCCAGAGGAGGAACCCCTGGGCTTCCCATTAACGTGTGTGGAGTTGTCATCTTTTTTTTTTTTTTTAAACCATTTTGTGTAACTTCTCCAGAAACTGATTACAAAGTGATCGTCTGAACACTTGAGTTTTGCCACAGCCAAACTGATCCCTTGGTGACGAGTCTTTCAAGATAGACTCCCCCTTAGGATAATAAGGGTGCAACGTCTAGGCAAAAGAAGACAAAACTTTGTTATCGGCTGGTTTTTCTTCTCACTGTGAGGTGCCCTGACACAATGATGGGGAGCTACTGCCCAGGGAGCATTGCTGCAAGTGAAGAACTGGCCTGCTGGAGAGGACGGCTGCACTGCACAGTGGCTGTCAACAGGGGTCACCCTGCTACTGAGATGCGGCTTCTTGCCAGCAGGCTCAGAACTGCTGCCGCCGGGCAATGTGTGTTTCTCCACTAGTTCCCTCTTATCTTGTCTCAAGTCTCTTAAACATGTTTCATCCCTTTCTTACTGCAATGGCAGACCTTTGCTCCCCCCACTCCCGCCCCCGACAGGAGTGCCACCGAGAAAAAACTGCGGAATGTCAATTGTTTTTCCCCCCCCCCCCACTTGCCCAGCATAGGGAGCTATTTTACTGGATCTTCTCGTCAAGCCTTAGTATTGGGCCACGTGGCTGTTTTTGAAAGTGCTGAATATGGCATGTAAGTGCCATTATTGACTACAGTTTGCACGCTCCTCTCTTTTTCTTCAACCCCCCCCCCCCATCTTTGCTGCGGTCTCAGATCAGACAAGTTTTGCATGATTTTGTGGTGCTTCAAAAACCTGCTTGAACAGTGATGCCAAGGGGACAGAAGAATGCACATGTGCTACTGTAATTACACAGGTCTGTTGCACACTACTTTCCTATTTCATACCCTCTGTACCCAGCCCTAGCCCCTGCCGGGGCAGAGACCTTCAGCACAACTGTAAAGCATGTTTGCTCAGTCCCAGTATGCATATTTACATTGTTGCCTTTCTCTGTGTGTAAATGCTACTGAGTCTCTGAAACGCGATGACAACAGGCATTGCCAATAGACAAGTTCAGTTTTTGTGTTTTGTTTTAATTTGTCTCCTGCCTTTCTCCCCAACTGGAACCCAAAGTGGCTGACATGATTCTTCTCTGCTCCATTTTATCCTCTCAGGAACCCTGTGGGGTGTGTTAGGCTGAGTATGTGTGCCTGATTCAGAGGTCACCCAGCAGGCGTCCACAGCGGGGTGTGTGTGTGTGTGTGTCCAACCTAGGTCTCTCACATCCTGGTCTGATGCTCTGCCCTCTATACAACATAGTTGCAGTTTGGTTTCTTGTTTGTCATTGACTCACATGGAAGCGTAAATTGACTTGCAATGTGAATGTAAACTCTAGATAGAGCGCCCTACAAATCACTACGCAGACGGTTGGAAGACCAGCGGATTTACGATGGCATCTTCCAGGGACTGGGGCCCACTTCAGCTTCATGGAGAATTAAGTCTGACAAAGTCTTTCCACGTTTGTGCCACAGGGCGTTGAGGTGTTTACGGTGCCGCTAGAGTTTTGGGGTTTTTTTCCTACGACAGATTATCGCGGCTACCGCTCTGGAAGTTATTTCTAACTTCTGGGTGTTGCGTGCATTTCTGCTGGCAGGATTTAAGGTACATTGAGATTTGCTGCAGGATGAAAAGCAACAGGGGTATATCGATGCCAAACTGATGTCGCCCAACCTGGGGACGGGGGCTAATTCCTTGGCCACGCCGTGAGGGTTGGGACTCGGGAGTCCTCTATCGGCTACAGGAAGAACAGTCGCCAAAGAAGCCGCCATTACGGAGAAGAGGGGCTTGGACGTCGGAGCTTTCCGTGCTAAAAATCAGCTGAATGAATTGCTTGCACTGTATCCCTATTGCCCATAGGGGGAGTCGCAGCTTTTTCTTGCGATTTTGGCTTTTCCCAGGTTAACCCCTGAGTCGCTGTAGCACAGCTTATCGCTGCATCCGCTTCAGTTTCAATGGAACGCTTTTTAGGGAGGGGAGGGCTTTGTGGTCCGGCTGTTCCACGAAAGAACTCTTCCTATCACAATTCATGTACAGCGCACACAGGCTGTGCCTTGTCGTTCATACACAGCGGACATCGCTGCAAGAGTGCCAATGATTCCTCCCTGGCGCCCTCCCCAATTCCTAGCAGCTGCTTTGCCTTGAGCCTTCATGACACAGAAGGGAGCGCCGGCATTTCTCCTATGTAAGCTCAGCAGACACACATTTATTCGGAAATAGATCCCCCGGCATTCTGTGAGACTTGAATTCAAGTACTTGTGCCTTTGACAAGAGTCTGCCTTAAATTTGCACATTTCACTGTAGGGTTGTAGCCTGCAGTAATAACTGTTCTAGACGGAACAGAGTGATTGCGTGATTCAGTTTGCTTCTCCTGATGATTCACACTCTGTTAGTACTATCCTCATTTTGTCCTTATATGGTCTTGTCCAAGCTGGTTCCATTTCCCTTTTCTCTAGAGGACTCCCTGGAGCTGCTTGCTGGAGCAATAGGAGGGATGAGAGCCCAATCTGTTCTCTCTCCCCCTGGCACAAAAAAGCAGCTGCCTCTGAGGGTGGGATGGTTAATTACTGTTCCAAGCTACTGTATAGAAGAGTTTCTTCCCGCCCAGTAAATGTATGGAAATGTCATGCATTTACAAATGGCCATTTTTGGGGGGTGAAGCAAGTACTGTAATGGTGAGGTGCAGGATATTTGAATTACAGTCTAAACTTGCTCTGTTCCAATCACCTTTGAAAGGTGTTTGGCTTGGTCATTTGATAGAAGGGAAAGGCTGTGGTCTGGGTAGAACTGCCTAATGTCTGACACGTCAC